GGTCCTTCATGTCGGGGCCCAGCACTTTCTAAATGCTTTATTTGGATCCAGAGTACTTTTTCCTTTAGTGGCTTATAAGTACTTAGTCCAAGTGCTTCCTCCAAAACTAGATCTGTCCATCTAAATAAGAAGCATCTGAAATACATCCTCAGAGACCATTAATTTACCGTGAATAGATAAAATTAATTCACAGTAAATTAATTTACTGTGAATCAGATAAAAGCCGACTCTTAAAAACCAGGGAAAGGAAGATGTAAACTTTTTTAGATGCAAATATCCTAGATAAACATATTAAAATGTTTGTGAGTTAAAACATAAATCCTATCCACACTGAAATTTTATTGTCCCTGATGAGAGAAACTCTTTCCTCATGTTTTATTTTGCAGAATATCTAGAAAATTACTCTAGACTTAATAGTGTTCAGTATAAATATATGATTTGAAATTTGAAAAAGGAAAAAAATCAGCTGCAAGTGGAAGGAATCCCGGGGAAGCAGATCTATTGAGACAAGCCACACATTTGGCAGAGAGAAGCACAAATTGAAAGAGTGATGCATAATATTTTCTATGGACGCTTCCAAGTTGTATAAATGAAAGAAGAAATCGCCACCAGTGGTTACATTGTTTAACCAAGACTCTCTTACTTTTACTATGTAGATTTAACTACAGGACTGCATGTGCTTCCTGTAGGACACTGTATTCGTGTATTCATCTGGGTAAAGAATTCATAGTGCTGAGATAGCATCATTTTGCTTCATTCTTACTCCTCAGTGATGATCATACCATCTTTTATCAGCTGAGTAACAGCAACAGCATCTTTGTTCTGCCTTGAAAGGTGGCGTGAAATGAGCTCAAGAAACTTTTGTTTGTTCATATTGTGTGCCTTATTAGTGAATAGTCTAATGTCAGGCCGGGATGACTTTTCTAGCTCTTGGTAGTGCTAATGCACAGAGAAACATTGTGTTTTATACCCTACAAGTTTAAGAGGATACTATTTAGAAAACAACCTCATAAAAATAATGTTGTACCAGCATGCAATAAATTAAACAGTGCTGTCATGGATGTTTTAAGATATATATATATAGGCAACATTGAACTGTTAAGCTTACTGTTATAGTTTATTTTTTAACTGATGCAAAAAGTAAAGTACCCAATTTTCATGTCATTGGAGACTGTCCTACTATAATTTCATCCTCAATTTTACCATGCCTTTGGCTGTGTACCAAGTTAACCCTGCATGGGCCTACTTTTTATGCTATGTATATTATGTATGATTATAGATAGAAAGTTTGTTTAGGCTGATGAGAGAAAAATCAGTGATATAAATAAAAATATATTTTGGGCAAAGTTTCATTTAAAAATCCAATAGCTATAGCACAGGGAAAGATATCTGAATTTAGCTTTTTCTATTTTGCTTCCCGAGGTTTTCTTTCTCGTTGCTGAGAAATCAGAAAGAACAAATGAATATCTCTGGGTTTTACTTACTATTCTTGCTGCAGTAAAATCATATCGATAAAACAAAGGATCTGGGGTCACAAAAGAGGCCCAGGGCTTGGTAGTTTCTAAGCCAAAGAGAATAGGACAGAATTTGGTGATGTAGTATAAGGTCACAGATGCTCTTAATTTAATGTGATCTAAGATAGCATTTTCAGAATTATGGAGTAAGCATTCTAGATAATCCACCCCTCTATAAAAATGGTGAGAATATTGTCAAAAATTATTGAAATTAACATTTTTGGAAATTTTAAAGTTAACCAAAAGTTGTAATAATTTGAGGAGCATTTATTCCCCTCCCTTCAAAGGCTAAATATTGATAAGGCCATGAGACTTTCAGTGTTTTAATCCTATTCTCATTCTCCTGTTACTTGAAGATAGGTCAACTGAGATTTTTCCAGTCTAATCAGCAGAAAGAGTAGGAGGCAGAGGAGAGAGAGGGAAGAGGAAGTATCAGGTTAACAGTGTCTCTTAGTTATTGCGGGCTGATCAGGCCTGCAATTTCCCAAATGAGTGGATAGCAAAGGTTTAAATAAATGAGGCAATTGAAATAATTTCAGGGCCCCAGAAGATTCCAAACTCTCTGACATAATTTGCAATTCTCTGGGTTAAGACCAAGAACTTGTTCGGGCGGCCTGTATATATTTGGTTTTCAAACAAAGGAGGAGGATACTGAAGAAAACGCAGGAATCTAGCAGGACCTTGGGAAATATTTTCCCAAGGAGTAAGTTATGTCAATCAGGAGAGCTACCTTAACTTTAAGTTGGCATTTATTGCAGCTGCAGTCTCCTTTTAGTTAATTGGGGTTGGAGCCAAACATCCTCAGCTGTGGCCTTATCATGTCCTTTGAGGCTTCACAGCTTTATAGGCCAATACAGGCCTCAGCAGTGACCAGTAACTCATAGAGGTTCACTTACTGTGAGTCTGCTGCCCAACTCCAGACAAGGTGCATAGGCTTTGGACAACTCACGAGTAAATATGAACAGCCAATTGGTTCATATTAAATACTGCTCAGAGCTGCTTTGTAGTGGTCTTCATCAAGAAAGAGTAGAAGAAACTTTAGAGACATTTAGCATATTGTAAAACACCAACACATGCATAATGGAGTCTTAGGAGGAAAGGAGAATAAGAAGAGGGTCAAAAGAATGTTTGAGGAAATAATGCTTAAAATTTTCTAAATTGGTTGAATATCAAAATCTATAAGTCTAAGCACTCAGAAACTTCAAGTTAAAAACCTCAAAGAGATTTACATCTAGACACATTCTAATCACACTGTGGAAAATCAAATAAAAAGACAGAATATAAAGAGCACGAGAGAAGTAAGTCATCATGTACAAAGTATTTCAATATGGCGAACAGTAATTTTTCAGCAGAAACTAGGAAGGCCAAAGTGGGTTTAATGTATTTAACAGTAAAAAAAGAACAAAGACCATCAACCAAGGTTACTGTCCTTTAATAGTGAAGGAAAAATGAAGACAATCAATGAATACATAAAAATGGAGACAATTTGTTGCTAGCAGTTCTGTCTTACAGAAAATATCAATGGTAGTTCTTCAGATCAACTGAAGGGACAATAACTTGAATCCACATGAAGAAATAAAGATAAGGGTAGTGTGAAAGTTGTCAAAGGGTCAGGGCTGTGGCTGAGTTGGAGAGTGCTTGCCTAAAGGGTTTGAAGCCCTGGTTTGATTCTCAGCACCATGGAGGGGGTAGGGGTGGGGGTTAGAGTCAAAATGAAGTCACTTGTGTTAAACTTTAAAAAAGTAAATAAATAAAGCCAAGAGGTGTAGTGGAAGGAATCTCATGCCTCATCACAAGAATTATCACAAAGGACTCTGCCAGAACCACAACTTTCCATAAAGGCTACCATAACCTTACCAGAAAACACTTCTGCAAAGACATTGCCCAGCAATTTCCTGTACAAACTGGGACAGATGTGGTCCTTGTTGTTTATCCTTACAGCCAAGGATAATTGTTTCCAAAAACTTTATGCAAGCATTTTCATTTTTCTCTTTAAAAAACTTTGTCTTTGTTTC